CGCAACAAATACAAGCTTTAGAACATACATTTTAAGAACTGCTAAAGGCAACGCCGACCTCAAAACGTAACAACCGTGATCCTCGCCTGAGGCTAATCTTAGCATCTCCGTGCACTGGGTGCTAGATCTGAGAACCTGAATGCCCGGGATGCACGTCAGAAGCGTGCTACGTTTGCGGTCCCTGATGTTCGCAGTGATTTACTGGCTAACCCTGTACTTGGTACGGATCATCGTAACCTTTCGGCTTAGCTGCCTGCGTTTCGTGCAGCCCTTAGTGTAATGCCGCAGGAGAACTCCGCCTGAGATGCGGTCCTTACACCGAACTGAGGAACACTGGGACCCCGCTATCTTCCAGATATGGTTTAGCTGACCGTGCAACACTTTGTGCCAAGTGTCACTCCTACGCAACATAAGCTTCCAGTTTTTAAAAAAAATTAAATCCGAGCTTTTTGGATGGATGAATTTCTGGGATCAGAGCTCACGCTGAACAGCGCTTGTTGTGTGAGTTCTGACCCCTTCCATCCCATCGTGCAATTCCAGGCCAACGGCAGAACTTGGGGGCGAAAGTTTAACACGCCGTAATGAGCGGCACAGTCCGACCTGCCTTCCGACGTCACCTAACCTTTAGCGCGACCGCTGCCACCGGCCGCAGGACACATCCGTCAAGGGCAGATAGCGAGCCCCTGAAGCGACACGCCTTCACCCCGCCGCGGGTGGGCAGATCGGGAGGCAAGCGCTCTAACTGAGCCATCCGAGGCAACGCATGTGTATGGGCTGATGCAACCACATGAGCAACATACCTGCACATGACTTGCCACCCTTTATGCCAATGCATTAGCTACTTCCAATTTCTAAATCGTTCACCGATGCAGCATACTTTAAAAAAAATAAGAGAAAACGGTGATAGTCACGTGATAGCGAAGATGGCGTTCGACCCTCAGGCAACGGGACCTGAATGCGCTAGCAACGTCCCGTTATCACAAAAGTGTCTTTGATGCTTCACCTATGTAACCCATTTATGCCCTTGATGCACGGATTTCTATAAAGAATATATGAAAAAGAAGGTCGCCCGAGGCATGCAAGTAATGGGAAATCGGATGGTAGCTGAATGAAATATACAAGCTCATCGCGTATAAATATTGCAATTTTGGACATGTGACAGGAGGACCTTGGGGGCATGTTGAGAACGTTATTTGCAAAGCGCCAGGCAGCTGTATGATAATCAGTAGCACCTTGGTACTACACTCTGACCATCCCAGGGTTACATCGGTATGCTATATATATATATATATATATATATATATATATATATATATATATATATATATATCGTCGAGGCCATCTGGGGTTGATACCGATAATTACCGCGAGTATCAGGCTACATGTGCACGACTCATCCCTACCACCCATGTCAGATCACGGGGATAGCAAGATACTTGTCAACATGGTTCATTGGTGGTGTTATGCTAAGGGTGAGGTAAATTGTCCCAGTGTATGCTCCGTTCCATGGATCCTGTGGTGCTAGTGAACACACGGTTGAAGGTGATGTGGTGCAGGAGTACAATACAATATCTTTTAAAGGTATGTGCCGTTCCGTACAGGGGGCGTGATAGCAGTGTCGCCCGTTACCACGCGCCGCACCTGGCAGAAAGGGCTGCGGCACTTTTGAACCGAATGGCTGAAACTCCACTGCCAAATGCCCCGTCTTTCCTGTGCACAGATCAAAAATAAGACATTGATGAGCCTCGCTGATACGTGAGTTGCTAAGCGCATTCGTGAAGAACATTACTCACATAGATAAGACGGTAGTAATAGCCTTATTCTTCAGAGAAAACCAGGAGAATGGAGAAATAGATTGGGTGATATTTCGGCAACATGCCTTCATTGAAACAGTAGCAGAAGTGTTATGTGAATAATTTCTGGTTTTGTTTCGATAAAGGCATGTTGGCGAAATATCAAGAAATTGCAAGAGCAGAAGTTATTCACATAGCACTTCTGCTATTGTTTCGATGACGGCATGTTGCCGAAATATCAGCCGATCTATTTCTTTATCATCCAGGTTTTTCTCCGAGGAATGAGGCTATTACTACTGTTTTAGCCTCGCTGATGAGACTTGCCACGAATTGCAGTCATATGTAAATAGGCCCGTACACAGATTAAGGTTAATTCTCATTGCGTGTTGAATTATGTTCATTGTGTTGTAATCAGTGTAGTGAGAGAGGGATCATAAATACGTTGTAATCATAAGTCCCTGCGTTTTAATGAGCGCATTCATGCCAACATTTTTAAATATCCAGATACATCGACGTCCGCTCCCAAACAGCTAGGAAGTCTATAATTTGCGTCACCAATATTTTGTCACTCATTGTTTTTGTAATCTGATATTTTGAGTCTCGATGTTTACTAGGCGGACCTTTTATGCCTCAATGTTTTGAGGTGGCGATAGTTTAGGTGTCGATACATCGTATGGTGATGTTTTGCAGTACAGATGTTTTGCGGGGCAATATTTTGCGCGTCAATAGTTGCGTGTTGATGTTAAGTGCGTCGGTTCTTATCCGGGTGCCACCAAAAGTGAGTGAACACAGGCCCAAAACCTTGGCGGTATACATAGAAATTGCTCGACATTACACATTTTGTTAAGCACTAAACGGAGAAGCGCCGGACACCAAGAGGACAGTCACACGAGCCACGTGACAATCACACATAACATTTCAGGATTACTGGACATGTTTTGCCCAGCTTTCATCTTTGATAACATATCTCCGCAATCAAGACAAGTGAGGGCATGCTTCTAACTGCAAAGTGCGGATGAATATACTGTCTGCGATTCATATGGCCGACCCAGGATTGGACGAGCAAGCCAGGAATATCAGCACTTTGAAAAAATTGCTGAGTTTAACACACCGTGTTTAACTTATCGCCATGACTTTATGTTACCGTTGGCTGCGATTTGTCTCGTCATCCACACTATTGTTTGCTATACACGCGTTTTACTGCCGTTGTGTCCATGTTATTTAAATCGCTACAATTACCTATCTTGCGGGGTCCAAACGCCCCCGATGCGTTAATGAGCTGCCGTCGCCTAGCCACCGCCCGCGACCATCACTGGTTCATGAACCAGGCTATGCTGCTTCGGTTCACTAGAACCGCTGGGTCGCGTCGTGCAGCGCGGGGCTCGCAGCCTCTCAACATCTGAAAGTTGCTCATTGTCATGACGAATGGCATGTCCAAAACTAGGGTAATGAAGCTTGATGCCGTCGGTAACCGGTGCCAATAAGTTTGATACATGCGTTAGCCAATTTGATTGCAGTGAGGTTTCGCCAAGCGATGGTCCGTTCATGGAAACTTATGCTAATTCACGACTAGCGTTGCTGGAAAAATGTATGGTATTTCTAGCGGGGTAGCCGTGGTTAGTAATTTAGTAATTAGATCGATGAATTTGCGAAGATTTCAAGTTTTGGCAGTCGTGAGCAAATTATTGCAGAAACACATACAGCTTAAATGTGCATTGTTCACATTTAATAACGCTAAGTGCCGTGCAATTCCCATAATCCAGTTTTCATCGGTTTAGGCTACAGCGTTTGTGATTAGAATGAGCTTGGGGAGAAGTGACTAGCCGTTTTCGGGTCGACTGCAGGCTCGCCTATTGGTCATGCAGTTTACGATTCAGTGGTGAATGTTAGCCGGTGCGGCCTTCGCTGTGCACAGTTGGTTTCATCCATGCATCTGTTATTGTTGCTGAGATCCGACATCGGTTCTTAAAAGCACCACAACATGCGCGGATCCATGATTTAAGCAAGAAGGCGCATGGCTATCTTTCCACATCGGCCCACACATTTAACGAATAAGATTGTTTTTTATCTCACATGTTGAAAAAAGAAAACAAGGTTTCGGGAAGCTAGCCTGATGCTCAGAACGCAGCATACCTGTCACTGTCTAACAAGTCTTACCTCTTAAGTTTCATTAAAACATTCAGCGAATTGCGCTTCCTGCTCTTTTTTGTTATGCTTAGTCCTGCAATCGGTGGTTGTGAAGATGCACTTGGCAGTTGCATGACGGCCGGACCGGGCCGGGCCGTGTCGCTCAATATTTCTTCTTACAAAGCACGAAGAAGAAACAGGTTGAAGATCATTCCGCTTTTTGTCTCGAAAGACCCCGATTTACTATCCGGATCGAGTCATTGGGTGGTTTTAAGCGATCTTCTCACGTGATGCGATGCCCGCAGGAACTGCTCGGCCTGCGGTCTCGATCATGATCAATTCGCTTTTAAGGCTGGTGGATGTCCTGCCACGTGACTTTACAATATGTTTGAATCATATATTTTTTCAGGGACAACATTTGTTTTCTTGAACTGATCGATCCGTAGGGTTCCGAGGAGTCGACGCGTTTAGCATTTAAGTACGCCTGTTCTGTCATGAAATCTTACACAATGTCCGTGGCCAATAAGATGCACTCATTGCGTGCTAGCAAGCTCAGGGTCATCATCTTGCACGGGGGATTGTGCTTTTGATTACAGTTACAAAAACTCATCAATTATATCCCAAACAAATTCATAGAAGGAATAGTTCCGTTTCAACACAGATTCAGCCTCATCGCTGCACGTTTCCACAGTCTGCAGGAGTCACGTGCTTAGCACAGGGATGCTCTTCGTAACGCATACGCCACGTGACAAAGGAGCAGTTGATCACACTGCACGTGACATGACATACGCCACGTGACAAAGGAGCAGTTGATCACACTGCACGTGACATGACATACGCCACGTGACAAAGGAGCAGTTGATCACACTGCACGTGACATGACATACGCCACGTGACAAAGGAGCAGTTGATCACACTGCACGTGACATGACATACGCCACGTGACAAAGGAGCAGTTGATCACACTGCACGTGACATGACATTAGTTCTTCACCAGCAGAACGGCTTCTCACTCAGATGGCCGCAGATCGCCCGCCAGCACCGTTGTCCTCCTCCGCGTGCCACACTCAGGCGGCCCGTTCAGTGCCGCTGCTTCGCCTGGTGGGGTCCGGAGCCGTGTACGGAGCCGGAGCCGGAGCCGGAGCCGGAGCCGGAGCCGGGTCGGGTGTCGTCGTGCCGGACGTTGCCTGCTTCCGGCGGGGGCAGGGCGGCCCGCAGCAGGCCGGCCCGTCGTCCTAGCCGCGCCCAGGCAGTGCGGGCCTGCTCCGTCCTGCGCAGGCTCAGCACCAGCTCCAAGGTGAAGACGGCCACGGCGGCCAGGCCGCCCGCCACGAGCACGAGCAGCGCGGCCGAGAGATCCCGCAGCGTGAGCGGTCGGGGCGCCGCCGAGATGTCGGGCTCGTCGAGTCGCGCCGCGCGCAGCCACAGCTCCACCAGGCCCGACTGCAGCAGCTGCATGACCGCGTCGTTCAGCTGCGACACGAAGCAGGCTCCTTGGCGCACCGGCCACGCCAGGCCCGTTTGGAAGAAGCGCGCGCGCGAGATGTAGAAGAGGTCGTGATCGGGGCGGCGCCAGAGCGCGTGGCGCAAGTGCGAGAGCTCGTTGATGTAGGCGGTGTGGTTCTCGAGCGGCGCAGTGCTGCTCGTCAGCTGCTCGATCGGGAACAGCGACATCTTATCGGGGATGCGGCCGAGGACGGACTCGCTGCCGCGGAAGGACTCCAGGTAAACGGTGGCGGCAGTGCCGCTCGCGGACTTCACTCGGAACCGCGACAGCGCCAGCGCCTCCAGCGAGCCGATGGGCCGGCCGTACACGGGCACGGACAGCTTGGACGTCAGCATCGTTTGGTAGTAGATGCCAATGATGACGCAGAAGAAGGCCCAGAGCAGGACGAGCAGGCGGCTGGAGCCGCGGCGCGGGTCGCGCATTTGGTGCTGGCCAGTGATAGCGCCCCAGACCAGGAAGCCGGCGGCACCGAGCCGTCCCCAGCGGCCGCGCTCACCGCCCACCAGGCCCGGCACGACCCAGAAGATGAGCGTGACGACGAGCACCGCGGCGGCCAGTAGCGTCCAGGTCTTGCCGTCGAACGGCGCGGCGATGACGACCCAGCGCGGCAGCAGCGGCGGCCGGCGCAGCAGGAACGATACCGGCTCCTGGTGGAACGGGTACGTGACGTCCACCACGCGGCTGCGGGCCAGCGTCACGGAGATGTCGCCGATGGCCATGTCCGCCTGACCGTCCACCACCATACCGATCACTCCCGTCCAGGAGCCGTCGTCGCGCTCCACGCCGAACAGGCCGTCAAGCTCGGCCGGCTCCACCAGCTCGTAGCGGAAGCCGAGCGCGCCGGCCACCGCATCCAGCATGTTCACCTCCACGCCGACCGTGCGTCGCCGGCCGCCCACCGTCTCGTAGCGCGCGTAGATCGTGTCCACGGCCGCCGTGGTGGCCACGCGCAGTGTGCGGCCCCGCAGCCGGCTGTGGTTCGGCAGGAACCAGCGCGGCGGCGGTCGGCCCGCCTCCGGCTCGAACAGCAGCGATGAGCGCAGCGAGCGCTGCACGCAGTCGATCTCGTGCGTGAACACCTGCACGGACGCCAGGTCCTCGGCCACCATGACGGCGGAGATGGCCTGCGCCTGGTCGAAGCGCACCAGGTGCAGGCTGACGGAGCGGCTGATGTTCTTCGCCGGCTCGATGACCAGCATGCGCCGGCAGCGGTTGCCCCAGCGGCGCAGCAGCTGCGCCGGCTGGTGCGACTTGACGCGCCGCCACGACTCGTCGCGCAGCCAGAGGAGGCAGGTGCGCGCCGGCTGCATGGTGGGCGACCAGCGCAGCCGGCCGGCCGCCGCCGCCAGCTGCAGCGAGCGCGCCGCGCCGTGCAGCGCCCGCAGCGCGCCAGCCAGCAGCGCGTGCTCGTCGAACACCAGCACCACGTCGTCGCCGGCCGTCATCCAGCCCAGCACGGCGGCCAACTGGGAGAGACGGGCAGGCGGCGTCGGCTGCCAGAGTGGCGACGTCAGGCCGGCGGCCGGCCCCACCAGCCAGACGACCATCAGCCAACGCATTCTGGTGCCGACTGAGGCGCGCCGGCCGGGCGGCGGCTGCGCGGGACCTTCGGCGCACTGCCGGCTTTACCTGATCATTCATGTGAGCTGAAAACCATGGGTTGCACGGGGCAAAGTCGCCCATGCGTGGCATTTGAAACCGAATTCTGGATAGACATGCGTTCCTGAGACTCATGTCGCTCGTCACGGGTTTACTGCGGCAAGTCAGATTGCGCCTCAACCGGGACCTCCAGCTTCACCATGCCAAGGAAGTTGAACCTATTTCCCAAATCTCATGAATGGGTGAGCCCACTCCACAGCCGATAGCGAACCGGGTTAAAAGAGCTACGCGTGGCGTAGAATAAAATTGAACAAGAGGAAGAGCCCGATGCAGTAGACGTTGTACCTCTCCAGAAATATTTCCTTATGTCCAATGCTGGGAGAACTGGTATGCGCCCATCATAGCCACCTATCACATGTGATAAACTGTGCTTACGCTAGCGAAAGCAGAAGTTTCGTGGCTAGATCATATCGAGAGGTAATTGACTGAGATGGATAAATTCCAAAAACTTAAAACGATTAAGAGGTCATGACATGTCTGTCATGTCCTAGCACACGCTCGGGTAGCTGGTTAGATACCCTTCGCTCGGGTGGCGTGGTTGGATATGATCCCCTGAGATCTCAGAAATTACGGAAGTTAGAGATACCAAATGCACAGGATGTGTTGGCCTGCGCATGAACTAAACGTTTCCTAGGTCATGACCTTTGGTCAAATAAGTCTAAGGGAGGTCAAACTCCAGATTGGTGTCCAAAGTGCCCCCAGACCTGTTCATGCAACTACCGTGGACCTAGATATCTGTGCTAAGCAAAAGGCTACTGGTGCTCATTTAAGATCAGTGACCTTGCTTCACCTTAAGCAGGTCATGGTGACCAAAATCATACAAGACTGTTTTGTTTTTTGCATTTGAATAAACGTCGAAAACGTCGAAACGTCGAAATAAATTACGCTAGGCAGTATCCTCCTAAAAACAAAATGTTGACCCGAGTCATTATATGTCAGCGACCTATTCTGACCATTAAGAAGTCCATAGAAGATGTATAATGCGGTTCCTATTACCTATAGATTGAAAATGGGCCCCAGAAACTATCCCATTCAGCAAGCTCTAGATTAAAAAATATGATGGTTCTTACATTGACCTGATCTTCATACCTGACTGTCGGTCAATGTCATTTGTTAATTTAATTGTTGTAGTGCTCTAGAAAGTGTCTCAGAGATGTGGGGCTGGTCTAACACTCCGTTGTTGCGTCAGATTGATCTATTCCCTAGACATTTTCTTCGCTGAACCAATGACTTAATTTTGACCTGCCGTAGGTCAGTGACCTGACAAATTACATCTAAGTTTTTTAAAGGCAAAGATTCACTATCTACTTGTCTACAGCTGTGTAAAATTTGGCGTGGTTACGCCACGCCGTTCGGAAATCATTCCGGAAAAACATTCGGGGGGGGGGGGGGCAATTGACCCGCGACCGCTCAATGACCAGACTTCCCTGATATGTGCCAAAGAAAGTCCCGATGTATCACCAAGAAGATTGAGTAACTGGGCATCCGGGCAGAGGAATAAGACGACCATCAATGACTTGCTTGCAAAAGCAAGAACAAATATTTCCTAAATAGAATAAGTTGAATTGTCAACGGAATTTATTGACACTCAGAAATTTAGAAAAGCATAGTTATTTACGATGTGTTTTGTGGCCCCATTTTCAAGCAGCTTGAAATGGGAAAGGAAAACGCTCATCGGGCCTATAGAATGAGCGCATTCAGAAATGTATGTTTGCATTAACGTTAAACGACTATTCGGTTAATTTGTAGAATTAACACAACGCTCCACTTGTGTAAGCTAATGGCAAAGAGTCTTCAAGTTTTCCGTACGTCAAATATAGCACGCACATATGAACAGATTACTCAGATGGTCTCCGATGGTCTCAGTAGCCTATTCTTGTGAAGTGTGAACAAACTGAGGTTTATGGCCCCGAGAGTGCATAGAAAGACTGGCGTCTTAACCGGGTTTTTTGCCTTCCCTGGCGCCCTCCAGCCGACAAGGTTACGGTTTTAACTGAAGCTAAAATGACTTCCGCCACGTCTGCCACGGCGTTCTCCGCCTATGCTAACCAGTTGCGACGCCGGGCATCGGAGTGACCGTTAGGTAAACAGTCTTTAGGCTACATGTAGCTTGTTTAACCGCCACAACACCCGGATCATGAATCGTTTAAAGCTTGTTAAAACGCTTGTTTAAACGTGTCTCGCGCAGCCGCGCACTCATGCTTTGGCCGCTGCCGCAGCCGCCTGTCGACGGGCACAAGCTGTGCCGCATGGCACATACTGCGCCGCTGAGCACGGCTTCTGTTGCCTGGGGCACACGGCGCCACCTGGTCGCACGGGGTCGCCGACAGTGAAGTTAGGTGCTCGGCTTCATAACGCACCGCTCAATGTACGCGTCTGTAGGGGAAGTCCAACAGAGGGCGTTCTTAAAGACCCCCCCCCCCCCCCCCCAACAAGCTGGTCTGCAATAGAAGTGTGAAATAGGGCTGATTGGAAGCTGTCGAGCGTATTCTAAGTAATCGTACTGCCTTTGACATATCAATCAGAAAACGCGGCAACTTGGCCTTAAGAATCAACAAGTGCTCCTGTTGCTAGCACATTCTGTCGGATTGCAATGCAAGATAGGGATGTTCTGAATCGGTGCCGTTTGCAGTGGGTCGGCGAATCTGGAGACGCGACGACTCTGTTGGAACCGGGAAATGTTAGCCTGGATCGAGGGCGCTGCAAACTGGCGAAGGTGCCGGTAGCAGTCAGATCTTGCCGACTGTGCACTGCGCTATTGCAGTGGTGCATCTGCTCTGCTCGCGATGCGGTATTGCCGACTGGTGTTTAGAACATGTTGCAAGCAATGGCAATGCAGCACTTATCACTTCGCCATCGAGCACCCGGACTGCATCGCAGTGGCATGGAATAACGCTTTTGAACTCGTCCGTGCATTGTGGCTACATGGCGAGCTGCTTCCCGCCGGATCGCCCGTACAATAGCATGTCGGCGGTGGTCTAACCACCATACAAAGACACGAGGGCCATCTGGCAAGACCTACAAAGGCGAGGACATCGGGCGGCGGGCGTCTTCAGCGAGGTCCGGCTTATGAAGAGTCGTTCGCACGACCCCGCCAACGCATTGTTATGCTGCGCCACAGTCCGCAGCTGACGGGTCTCTGTCTCCGCCGCCCTTTGAACGGCATAATAGTGCACTATATCGACAATGGCTTTGCATGGATTGAGCGTCATCACCTCGAACAGCCATAAACGGGACCAAAAATGTTAAGCTGATGCTTGAAGTGCTCTTCCACTGGTGATGTGTGCGGCTGCGTGAGCTGTTTGTGCAAATATATTTATGTGCAGCAAAACTACGTAGATATAGCGCTGAGATGTGGCTGGTCGGGGGGCGGAGTTGACGGCCGGAACACTTGCGCACCTAAACGCATGGCCTTGCCGGGATGTTAAAAAAGAGCTCGGAAACAACGGGGCAGGTCAGAGCTGTTGCCTGCTACCACCATCCCTGAAAATGAATAGCTTTACTCTCCGGTGTTGCCTGAAAATAATCGAAGTGAGAATCGCGTTTGTCTCCCGTCCCCCTGCCCTGACTCCCCTGGGATCCAGCGTCACAGCCGCATCGCCTGGCCCCTGCCGCCGTTCCGGGGCGGTAGCCATGCCCGATGCAGGGTCCAGCGGCGCGCCCGAGCAGCCGGACACGCGCATCTAATGACGTGTCAACACGCCCGCTGTTCGAGGGCCGCCCCAGCATTGTGATGGCTCCACGCGTACATGTGTGCCGATTGATGCAAGACAATTAGTCGGGGCAGAGCAAACACTTGCGAGTGTGGACAAATGCAGCCTAATGCAGCCTGCACTTACAGTGACATTGGATAGAGGCAGCCTGCGTAATACAGGCTGCCGTACTGTAACGTTGGATATAGGCGGCCTGCGTAATACAGGCTGCCGTACTGTAACGTTGGATATAGGCGGCCTGTGTCATACAGGCTGCAGTACAGCGACATTGGATAGAGGCAGCCTGCGTAATACAGGCTGTCGTACTGTAACGTTGGATATAGGCGGCCTGTGTCATACAGGCCGCCGTACTACAATGTTGGATAGAGGCAGCCTGCGTAATACAGGCTGTCGTACCGTAACGTTGGATATAGGCGGCCTGTGTAATACAGGCCGCCGTACTACAATGTTGGATAGAGGCAGCCTGCGTAGTACAGGCTGCCATACTGTAACGTTGGATGTAGGCGGCCTGCGTACTACAGGCCGCAGTACAGTGACATTGGATAGAGGCAGCCTGCGTAATACAGGCTGCCATACTGTAACGTTGGATATAGGCGGCCTGTGTCATACAGGCCACCGTACTACAATGTTGGATAGAGGCGGCCTGCGTAGTACAGGTCGCCGTACTGTAACGTTGGATATAGGCGGCCTGTGTCATACAGGCCGCCTTACTACAATGTTGGATAGAGGCGGCCTGCGTAGTACAGGCCACCGTACTGTAACGTTGGATATAGGCGCCCTGCGTCATACAGGCCGCCGTACTACAATGTTGGATAGAGGCGGCCTGCGTAGTACAGGCCACCGTACTGTAACGTTGGATATAGGCGCCCTGCGTCATACAGGCCGCCGTACTACAATGTTGGATAGAGGCGGCCTGCGTAGTACAGGCTGCCATACTGTAACGTTGGATATAGGCACCCTGTGTCATACAGGCCGCCGTACTACAATGTTGGATAGAGGCGGCCTGCGTAGTACAGGCTGCCATACTGTAACGTTGGATATAGGCGGCCTGTGTAATACAGGCCGCAGTACAGCGACATTGGATAGAGGCAGCCTGCGTAATACAGGCCGCCGTACTGTAACGTTGGATATAAGCGGCCTGTGTCATACAGGCCGCCGTACTACAATGTTGGATAGAGGCGGCCTGCGTAGTACAGGCTACCTTACTCTGACGCACTGTCGCTACACCACAAACGTGTGAAAACATAGAGCCATGCCAGAAAAGCTCACTTTCTGCCAGAAATAGACCGCCTTTGGGCTCCCCGAAAGGTCGGAGGGTCCGGTCGATGGAGGGCCCCACCAGTGCAGTCGGCGATGTTCTGTGGTCTCGACCAGTACCAGACAGGAGTAAGTGGGTCAATTTCGCGTCGCCACCGGCCAAGGGTCTGCACGGTTCTCCTATTGTCGACCCGCCAGCTGTCTGTTCTCTCAGTATTGTCTAGCGACAGTCGAAATGCTGGCGGCGACTCGGTTGCTGTCAGTCGTGTACACAGAGGACACAGCGCCACCGTCAGCTGTGAAACTTTGAAATTTATTTCGTGTCGTTCATGGAGGCAATTATCACATCATTTGGCAGAGAGCAGACAGGACATGGCGGCGGGACTTACCAGTAAATATCACACTTCCAACATCATGGCCGTGTAAATGTCAATGGTCTTCTTCCGGATTTTTACGTTCTACCTTGTGAAGATACAACACCCGCAACCAGAGCTCAGCAACCTGCCCCTGGAGCACGCTGCACCATTTGACACCAGCTGCGTTACCAGTGCACGGAGCGTTACCAGGAGCATGCTGTACCGTCTGACGTCAGCTGCGTCACCAGCGCGCGGCGTGTCACCAGGAGCATGCTGTACCGTCTGACGTCAGCTGGGTCGCCAGCGCGCGGCGTGTCACCTGGAGCATGCTGTACCGTCTGACGTCAGCTGCATCACCAGTGCACGGCGCGTCACCTGGAGCACACTGTACCGTCTGACGTCAGCTGCGTCACCAGCGCGCGGCGTGCCACCTGGAGCATACTGTACCGTCTGACGTCAGCTGCGTCACCAGCGCGCGGCGTGTCACCTGGAGCATGCTGTACCGTCCGGTAGGGGCGCGGCGCTGCCGCTCCAGCCGTGGCGCGCTCGGTCCGTTTCTCGTGCCCACAGGAACCAGTCTCCCAGCGATCGGTGCATCGCATCGTTGACTGTCGCTGCAGTCTGCGCTCAGCTGACTACCGGCCGCACTCGGCGGGTAGCTGCTACCGCATCCCATGGACTCGGCAGGACCCGGCTGACCTACTGACGTTGCCAAGCGCCCCGTCATCCATGTCCTACGCTCACCGGCGATGTGCCTCTCCCCAGACTGGACTTCGAGGAGTTCCAGACCCGCGGCCCGGAGCTGGCCGGCCCCGACCAGGGCACGTGCGACAGGTCGTACCTGAACCTGGGCGGCTCCGGCCCTGACCTGCACGTCGCCAGCGGCAAACTGTGCGGTCAGCTGACCGGGCAGCACGGTAAGCAGGCGTGGCGCAGCTGGACGGGCAGCACGGTAAGCGGGCGTGGCGCAGCTGGACGGGCAGCACGGTAAGCGGGCGTGGCGCAGCTGACCGGGCAGCACGGTAAGCGGGCGTGGCGCAGCTGTACGGGCGGCACGGTAAGCGGGCGTGGCGCAGCTGACCGGGCAGCACGGTAAGCGGGCGTGGCGCAGCTGACCGGGCTGCACGGTAAGCGGGCGTGGCGCAGCTGGACGGGCAGCACGGTAAGCGGGCGTGGCGCAGCTGGACGGGCAGCACGGTAAGCGGGCGTGGCGCAGCTGGACGGGCAGCACGGTAAGCGGGCGTGGCGCAGCTGACCGGGCAGCACGGTAAGCGGGCGTGGCGCAGCTGGACGGGCAGCACGGTAGGCAGGCGTGGCACAGCTGGACGGACAGCACGGTAAGCGGGCGTGGCACAGCTGGACGGGCGGCCGCGGCGCGTGGCCAAGGCTGGAAATTGTCGTCGTTTGCCCCGGTAGCGTTATTTAGCGAGAAGGAAAAAAACGTAACAAATGCTTCGTAAGGATGAGCACAATTAAATGGGCAAATATTGAGCATAATAAAGCAGGTATCCATCATGGCAGCTTTCACAAAGGGTTTCTCATCATCTCTGTCTTCAAACTTGCATGTTAGTCGTTGCAACTTACATGTCATATCTGGGCCTAGGGTGATGAACCCTAAAAGCAAACATCAAAGCATCTGGGGACTCTGTACGGCATGCACTAGTTTACTCACACTCATGTTTCCCTTCATTGAGGCGACCGTTCGACCCGTTGTCATTTACCTGTTTTGCTGGTCATCAGCGTGGGTCAACGGGACTCTGGCTTTTTCTTGGTGCAAGTTTAATCGATTCTGTGTCGCCGGTTCTCACTGTGCTCACGGCCAGCGGTAAGCGTAGCCAGACTGACAGTGGCTGTGTGCTGACCGCGTCACGTCCGCTCCGATGATGGCTGTGTGCTGACCGCGTCACGTCCGCTCCGATGATGGCTGTGTGCTGACCGCGCCACGTCCGCTCCAATGACGGCTGTGTGCTGACCGCGTCACGTCCGCTCCGAGGATGGCTGTGTGCTGACCACGCCACGTCCGCTCCGAGGATGGCTGTGTGCTGACCGCGTCACGTCCGCTCCGATGATGGCTGTGTGCTGACCGCGCCACGTCCGCTCCAATGACGGCTGTGTGCTGACCGCGTCACGTCCGCTCCGAGGATGGCTGTGTGCTGACCGCGCTACGTCCACTCCGAGGATGGCTGTGTGCTGACCGCGCCACGTCCGCTCCGATGACGGCTGTGTGCTGACCGCGCCACGTCCGCTCCAATGACGGCTGTGTGCTGACCGCGCCACGTCCGCTCCAATGACGGCTGTGTGCTGACCGCGTCACGTCCGCTCCGATGATGGCTGTGTGCTGACCGCGTCACGTCCGCTCCGATGACGGCTGTGTGCTGACCGCGTCACGTCCGCTCCGAGGATGGCTGTGTGCTGACCGCGCCACGTCCGCTCCGATGACGGCTGTGTGCTGACTGCGCCACGTCCGCTCCGATGATGGCTGTGTGCTGACCGCGTCACGTCCGCTCCGATGACGGCTGTGTGCTGACCGCGCCACGTCCGCTCCAATGACTGCTGTGTGCTGACCGCGCCACGTCCGCTCCAATGACGGCTGTGTGCTGACCGCGCCACGTCCGCTCCAATGACGGCCGTGTGCTGACTGCACCACGCCCGCTCCAATGACGGCTGTGTGCTGACCGCGCCACGTTCGCTCCGATGACGGCTGCGATCGGTGCAGTCTCTGGTCGTCAGGGTCAGACGTCTAACCTCCAGTGCACCTCCAACGGAGCCGTTTTGCTGGTGGTCGGTGCACGCGCACCTGCCTAACTTCATTCTCTGTCAGTGTGCGTACACCTGTCTGCTTTGCCTATTATCAAAGTTCGCACACCTGTATTTTTCCGCTTTTCATCAGTGAACTGACATTACTTTGTCCTGACATTGTTCCTCGGGACCCCGGACCCCTTGCCCTTTCACCCTAACATTGATTTGAATCATCGTCACTGCGTGCATACCAGTCTGTTCCGCCGACCGTCCGTGTACTGTCAGTCTGTTCCGCTGACCGTCCGCGTGCTGCCAGTCTGTTCCGCCGACCGTCTGTGTACTGCCAGTCTGTTCCGCCGACCGTCCGCGTACTGCCAGTCTGTGCTTCCGACCGTACGCGTACGCCTAGCTGATAGATTCTCTGGCTGTCCATGTGCGTCCACCGGAAAGTTTCGGTAATGGTCTGCCCTTTGACCCGATTGTTTCACCAGCCGCCAGTTGCACCCAGCCTATTGTTCCGCCAGCCGTCGGTGTACGTCCAACCTATAGCTCCGCTGGTCGGTAGCCTACATCCACATGGATTGTTCCGTCGATTGCCAGTGTACGTCTAGCCAACAGTTTCCCCTGTCGTCAATGTACGTCCACCTGACCGCTTCCCCTGTCGTCAGTGTACGTCCACCTGACCGTTTCCCCTGTCGTCAATGTACGTCCACCTGACCGTTTCCCCTGTCGTCAGTGTACGTCCACCTGACCGCTTCCCCTGTCGTCAGTGTACGTCCACCTGACCGTTTCCCCTGTCGTCAGCGTACATCCACCTGACCGCTTCCCCTGTCGTCAGTGTACGTCCACCTGACCGTTTCCCCTGTCGTCAGCGTACATCCACCTGACCGCTTCCCCTGTCGTCAGTGTACGTCCACCTGACCGTTTCCCCTGTCGTCAGCGTACATCCACCTGATCGTTTCGCTGGTCGTCAGTGTACGTCCACCTGACCGTTTGGCTGGTTATCAATGTACGTCCACCTGACCGTTTGGCTGGTTATCAGTGTACGTCCACCTGACCGTTTCCCCTGTCGTCAGCGTACGTCCACCTGACCGTTTCCCCTGTCGTCAGTGTACGTCCACCTGACCGTTTCCCCTGTCGTCAGTGTACGTCCACCTGACCGTTTCGCTGGTCGTCAGTGTACGTCCACCTGACCGTTTCACCGGTCGTCAGTGTACGTGCACCTGAATGAGCAGCGGAAAAGCGAAGTTCAGCTGTCGATGATGGTCCGTCTGGAGAGCGAGACGACCGGCGCCAAGTGGCGTATCAAAGCGACCCAGATCGACTGCAGCCAGCGCAGCGAGCTCCGCGGTGAGCCCGACCTCAGTGCAGCACGTCCAGGGACTCTCTGCTACCTGTAACGCAGTCAGTGCGAAGCCTGGGCTCCAGGTGTAGCACCCAATTTTACACACACCTGTCACTGACGGCGAGCCTCATGCCACTGTTCAAAAGTGGACGTGGTATCGCACGCACCACTTGTATTGCAAGAGCGGACATTCTCGCACGGTCCACACTGCCTGCGATTGAGTGCACGCTTCGCGCTTTTACTCGTGTATGTGCGGATTAGGCACACGACCTGATTTTACAGCTAACGCGCCGTCCTTGTAGCCCCAACAGGCTGCACCCAGTTCTACAACGGAACAAAGGGAACGTTTGAGAGCTTCAACTTTGAAGGCGGTGCATATACATTGAACCAGGACTACAACATCTGCATCGGCTCCTCGTTTGGCACATGCAAGGTGAGCGGCATGGTGGACTGTGGATGTCCTTGTCCGATGTCATGACGTTGTTTAGTTCCCTTCCGCCCCTGTGTACAACTGCTACGAAACCGCGACGTTGATGACTGCGGGACGGGTCGCCCAGCAAACGCGCTGCTGGCAAACGGCGACTCATACCTCCGCTAAGTCGATCGGGGTTGTAATGATACGTTTTACAAATCGCATGGTGAGAGTTGTCTCGGAAACCTTTACCGCCGAAGTGCGCTTCATCGAAATTGATTTCGAGCTTGAGTAATACCTTCCTCTGGGATCAACTAAAAGTCGGCCCAGCGTTATGTTTGTTGTTCAACGCAAGATCCGGAACCAAACCCACGCTTCAAAGATCGGAGCTATCGGAGTAATCGGAGTAAATCGATTCTGTCAAAGTAGAACGCCGCATAAATCTGCCTCGTAGGCCGTTCTGCCGTTGCCAGCAACGCGTTTTCTGAACAATTCGTCCCGCAGTCGAGACCCTCGAGACGTGCCAGACCCAGAGGTGTCTGCGGTCCCAGCTGGAGCAGCGAGACGTGCTTAGGCTGTTAGTTGTGTCATGTGGTTGCTGATCGCCGACATGCGAGCACCGCGCTGTTTGCTCAGCATGCTTTGGTTTTGCTGGCGGTGATCGTTGGAAGCCACGCCATCGACGAGGTAGAGTGCGGGAGCTAAGGACTGTCCCTTGTCTCTTTGCTTCAGACCAGGCGTGTAGCTTCCTTTTCAACTGGGCTGAGGCCTTAAGCCCTGCGCCCGCCCCATTGACTTTGGCTCAGCGATGAAAGAAGCTGTGAGAAAAAGTGGCCCAAATCCGGAGAAATTCTGGATGAAAATAAGATTGTATGCTTTAGGGCAGGTTTGACCACTTTCCCTGCTCAGTCTCCCTCCCTATATTATTTTTTAAAACTACACTCCTATTTCAGACGTCGTTCTCCTCCAGTGAGTTCAAGCTGGACATGGTGACCTCTGCAGATACCTCCGGCGTGGGGCTGGCTGCCTGTGATGTGCAGACCTCCGGCTCTGGCGGCCTCAGGTACTGACGTGCAGACCTCAGGTACTGGCGGCCTCAGGTACTGACGTGCAGACCCCACCTACTGGCGGCCTCAAATACTGACGTGCAAACCTCTGGTACTGGCGGCCTCAGGCACTGACGTGCAGACCTCAGGTACTGGCGGCCTCAGGTACTGACGTGCAGACCTCAGGTACTGGCGGCCTCAGGCACTGACGTGCAGACCTCAGGTACTGGCGGCCTCAGGTACTGACGTGCGGACCTCAGGTACTGGCGGCCTCAGGTACTGACGTGCAGACCTCAGGTACTGGCGGCCTCAGGTACTGACGTGCAGACCTCAGGTACTGGCGGCCTCAGGTACTGACGTGCAGACCTCAGGTACTGGCGGCCTCAGGTACTGACGTGCAGACCTCAGGTACTGGCGGCCTCAAGTACTGACGTGCAGACCTCAGGTGCAAACATGCAGACTTGGGGCGCTGACGTGAAATCCCCAGCACTGGTGACACCAGGTGTTGACGTGCACGCGTGCGATCCTGGCGGCCTCGATTATTGCCGCGCGGACCTCCGGTGCTGTCGGCTCCAGGGACTGACGTGGAGAACGGCCACACTAAGGGCTACGGGAACCCAGGACGTACGGATCCCTGACACCGGAGGCTTAAAGCACTGGCGTGCAGACGTCCTGCACCGGTTGCCTCCATTTAGCACATCCGGTACCCAGTGCAGACTCCACCGATCTCACTGACAACTGCAGACTGAAAGGAATGAAAGATGACGCGCCTGTTCTAGAAGGTATCCAGGGTCCGCTGATGCGTCGCTGAAGTGGTCCGTGCTATTGCGCCGTCGCCAGGTCGGATTATCTCTTCATCCCGGGCGGCTCGAAGACAGGCGACTCGCCGACCAACGAGAAGTACTGCGGCTCCGTGCTGCACTACAGCACCGGCTCGGCCGTGCCGCAGCCCGTGGTAAGGACGCCGGCGGCGGCCCTCCGGGCGGGTCCAGCTGCACGCGGATCTGGACACCGAGGGCAGAGCCGAGGGTCACCCCTACACAAGCCACACGCTCTGGCCACCCCTACCCAAGTCACACGCTCTGATGCCCTGACCCTGGGGACCCGACCTGATCCCGTCCAAGTCACACGCTCTGGCCCTGTCCAAGCTACACGCCCTGACCCTGAGGGGCTGACCTGACTCTAACCAAGCTAGACGCCCTGACCCTGAGGGCCTGACATGACCCTGTCCAAGCTACACGCCCTGACCCTGAGGGCCTGACATGACCCTGTCCAAGCTACACGCCCTGACCCTGAGGGCCTGACATGACCCTGTCCAAGCTACACGCCCTGACCCTGAGGGCATAACCTGACCCTGTCCAAGCTACACGCCCTGACCCTGAGGGCATAACCTGACCCTGTCCAAGCTACGCGTCCTGACCCTGAGGGCATAACCTGACCCTGTCCAAGCCACACGTCTTGACCCTGAGGGCATAACCTGACCCTGTCCAAGCCACACGTCTTGACCCTGAGGGCATAACCTGACCCTGTCCAAGCTACACGCCCTGACCCTGAGGGGCTGACCTGACTCTAACCAAGCTAGACGCCCTGACCCTGAGAGCATAACCTGACCCTGTCCAAGCTACACGCCCTGACCCTGAGGGCATAACCTGACCCTGTCCAAGCCACACGCCATGCCACGCCATGCGCCCGGACCACGCTACCGGAGACACGGGCCTTGTTTCGGAAGAGGTTTCGGGTTCTCCTGGGGCTATGAACGGTGGCAGTCAGCTTGTACATGATTTTTTTTTGCGTCCACAACCGTATTAAAGCAACCCCCGTTTTGGGTTTAAATGTAGGTTGACTGCCAGACTACACACTCCATAGTGACCGATGTATACCGGCGTCGCAACCCAGGATAACGCCATCAGCTAACGGTCTGGTCGCCAACCGCCGCTCCTGCTATGCGGCTGGCTGAACGTGATGCCGCAGGCAGCACGACCCGATCACGTCGCACCTTTTCTTTCGCAAAATTATGCTAACGGTCATTTCTTGACAAAGACAAACGGCACCATCCCTCTAAAGTCGGTCGCTTAGTCATGATGCCAGGGCGTGCTTGTCCTACAGCCGTTGATAATCATCTTTTTGAAGATCGCTTGCCTTTCGTTGCTGACAAAACCTATCGTCTCCTCCGTTTCCTCGGAAAGCTATGCCTCACCACCAATAACGCGATCTCGCCAAGTACAGTAACTCGGACAACGAATATGTCTCCGGAGTAAGTCTACGCTTACTTGCATAACAAAATGCCGTGCCACCGTTCTGTTTACATGAAGTCGCCGAGTGCAGTGAGCATGCCTTAGTAGTGCGTTTATCCGTATCATGTGACACGCGGCGTGCGACCGTCTTGACCAGGTGACGAAGGCGCAGAGTCCCCTGGTGCTGCGCTTCAAGACGGACTCCACGTTCACTGCGGCCAAGGAGAAGGGCTTCCGGGTGAACTACGAGCAGTCGTCCACCTGCTAGTGGTCGGTCGGCGGCGGCGCGACCACGAGAGCACCACCGGACCCTGAGGGCCGGCCCGCTCCGGCACCGCCGGGTCCCTGACACCTGACGCGTGTGTACCACGGTGTTCATCAGACGGCAGCGGGCGGCGACTACGGCGGGATGCGATGTTTATCAGCTTCCCTTGACGAGGCCTTGTCTTTTAAACAGAGTACGTGGTCTTCTTCTGCTTACTGTTTCGAGGTCATGACAGTGGATAACCAGAAGGTGACGCAAATATGTGGATGATTGGCCGCAAAGAGTCGTCAATGAATGTACTGTTTTTCTTGCCACTCGCTACCGCCGAAATACACGTACTTCTGAAGCAGGTGCTGGATCGGTTCTCCGCGAGTCACAATGCAAGACGCAGCTAGTCGTGGGACGCAAAGACGCAAAGCCTACAGTTGCCAGAACTGCACATCAAAGTGCCCACGATCGTGGGCACATATTGTGCATTATATTGCATTGTACAATATGTTGTGGCGTACATATTGTGTATTGTTATAAATACACACAAACAGGAGCAGGGGCATACCGTCATGACACACAAGCGTAACACACACATTGGTACCGGTTTTCGTGCACCTCCTGAAAGCTCGCGAGCACCGCCGACATGGAATTGCGTCGGCCCCACAGCTGCGGCAGCCCGTCACGACGCTACTGAAGCACAGCTAGCTCGCGCACAGCCGCCCACGACCGCACCGCCAGCCATTATGCACAGGTAAGCCTCGGTTCGTGCGCGGAGTCCTGTCCTGGGTCCTCCAGTGGGCGTCGGCAGCAGAGCCAAGGCCGGCACTGGAACCAGCCACAACACCGCTGCGCTGAACCAATCACCTGGTCGGCGTCACTGTCTGCGACAGCACTAAAATACCGCTGAACGCGTGCGCCAGGTGCCGCGACTGGGCCTGGCCAGATTACCCGGCAGCCGCCACGTCCCAGCGAAGGCCCACGCCGCCGCCTCGCCCCGGGCGGCGCCCACCCCCATCGGCGGGAGGCTCACTTCCAGACCTTGACGACGCCGTCGCGGGAGGCGGTGACGGCGTACCACTGGGAGGCGCGCGCCAGGACGATGTCGCTGATGGTGTCCAGGTGGCCGGGCGGCGTGGGCTCGGGGCCGCGCGGACAGTCGTCCAGCGGACGGCGCGCCTTCTGGCACACCTCCTGCACTACCTCGATGCCGTCCACCACCTGCCGACGGCGTCAGGCGTCAGGCGTCAGGCGTCAGCGGCCGGGCGGGCACAGCACTGGGCTCCAGGTCGGGCGGCTACGGTTCGATCCCAGTCGCGTGAAACTCTCACTGGTCTCGATTTCGTCCCAGGCGCTTCAGAACCCACGGCTTTCACGCACAGCGTTGGTCCTACGATCGGGGGGTCCGGACTTGCCTCACGCGCCGTGGAACCATCCCCAACACCGGCCCCCATCTCGGCTGGCAACACCCGAGCCCTCAGCCAGCTGCCTGACAGAGAAGCAGTCCACGGCGTCCAAGCACACAGCGGCGAGGTGGTCACACATCCCGCCACCGCGCTGCGCGGCCGCCTCACCTGGGAGCGGTACGTGCCGGTGACGGGCACCGGCTGGCGGGCCGGCCACGTGATCAGCTGCGAGGCGCGCGGCTCGGCCAGCTCCCAGAGCCGCGTGCACATGTCGGTGCCGGCTGTCAGCAGCGCCGGCCCCACCGGGCACAGAGCCGTCACCGAGTGGTGGTCCCGCAGCGCCGTGCTCAGCGCCGGGTGCTGGCTCGGCCACAGCGTCATCTGGCGGCGGGGGCGGCGTTAGACGACCGAGCGGGCTCAAACCCAGCCGGCACCAGGCCGACTCTGAACGACGCCAGAGCCGTGCCCCGTCTGTGGACTGCGCGCGCTTGTAACTTCATACTAAGCGCGTACAGATGTTACATGCAACGTCATGAGTTAGCAAGGTTTGTATAAATTTTGGCGTTTGTCGGTACCGCATACTTCAAAGAAACTTTGCTTTCAGGCAACAAAGAACTGCTCAGCATGTAAGACCCTAAAAGATCGATGCTGACACCTTTGCGTACTTCTAAATGTTGCGTCATAGTCGTTTACATCACGTTGACGCTTGTGAATAACAACAACTCATTACAGGCCGCATTTTCAACATCCTTCAGTTGCGTGATCGGTGCCGACAGGTCAGCCCTCACAATACGGGGCACGGCAAAATAAGGTCCACCGCTGCGCACGATTCGTGAACCCAGCCATTGTTTCGGTGCATACAAACAACAAACCAGCAAAGGCCAGCAAAGCCCCGGTGTTTTTCTGACGATTCTATTACGACTGCATCCATTTATATAAACATGAACGGTGTCACCAGCGAGACAGGGGAAAACAAAGCAGAAAAACAACAACAAAGGCAAAGTACCGATACTTTCTTGCGATTCTTTCACGATTGCGTCCATTTTAAACGAGCAGGAACGGTGTCACCAG